TTAGGTGTCTAGCCTCATTAGGCTGCTTTCAGAAATGGATATATATCCTGGACTACCTGATATCTACTCCTCTAACAAAAACAACCCTTTTACTTACCCATCAATCCTCCAGTCCTCCAAACAACTGTAGCAGACACATTGCCACCTTTTAGCTTGTTTGAAAAAGCTATATGAAAATTATTTTTTTAAAAAAGACCATTTTACTTATAATATTCAGAAGTCTATGATTTCCTAAAACCAATAAGATCTTAATTTTTAAATTGCTAGAAAAAAAATCAAGCCCTCTTTTTTTTCTCTCTTTCCTTTTTTTGAGGGGAGGAGACCTTATCTTTTAAAACTGGAAACTGTATATAGAGGGGATAAGCCACCTTTTATATTTCACATAAATCTGCCTTAAATCAGCTGCACTTTATAGACTCAGAAAATGTCTTCCCTTTAAAAGATAGACCTTTTCTGTTTGTAAATATTTAAAATGAAAGAGAACTGTGCATATTTTGTAGGAAGTAGGAAGAATGGTTTGAAACAGGATGTGAACAAATGACTTGCTATTAAAAATCACTAATCTGATCTGGTAGCAGCTGAAACTATGTCCACATCCCCTTAAGGTGTCTCTTTTAGGTGCTGCCCTGGGGTTTTGCCTGGTGACTGGGGTACTAGATATAGGAAGTGGGCACTGTAGGGCACAGTGCCACCTCCCGCCTCAGGAAAGTAAGATTCTGGCTGTTTGTTCCTGCCCCCTCAGCTAATCCCAACCTGTGCACCAGAGAAGCCCTGTTGGGGACTTTTCTCATTTTTTAATCCTATTTCAGGGTTTATGATTATAAAAAGTATCTAGTGGGAGCTACGTTTCACCCCTGAGTGACCTAGATTATCTTCCCCCATCCACCCACTCGAATTTGTCTTAAGTTGTAGCTGACCTCCACCTCTAATACTGTCTCCATTCTGAATGGCAGGGCTGAAGCCCCTTGGTCACTGTCTCAGTCTGGCTACCCAGGAGCTTTAGGGAAGAAATGTGCCTCTAATTTTGACCCAGGAAACTCCTTGAGATTTTACCTGGAAGCTAATCAAGGACCTAATGTGTTCCTCTATGTTCTAAGGCCAAAAAGGTTGTGAAATGAAACACAAGAAGTCATACTAGATTTTCGTACGGTTACCAGCTCAGAAGTAGCTAGAGGCTTTCTGTCCTGAGGATGCCAAGCAGGCCTAAAGCAGAGGGCTTCACATGATGGTAGCAAGTTTTTTCAAATTTCATACAAGAAAGTTGTTGATTTTTATTTCAAATTCCTTTTTTTTCTGGCAGCTCCTATATATTCTCTGTTTTGAAAATACTCTGAAAATAATTCTCCCTTTAAATACTTACATAAGTCAGGTACTAAAGAGCCCCCTGGTCTGGAAGGAAATGTACCTCCATGTCACTTGGGTATGTGCTGTGTTGTTCTTAGAAGCAGTCTTTGGACAACACAAAGGTTAAAGAATTTTGAAAATCAGCTTTGTTTATGCCAAGTCAGGGAGAAACTAGAAAAGCTTTCATGGCACAGATTTATTTAGTAGAACTCTGTTTTAACTTTGTCCATGTTGCCCTGTTATCCATGGATGCAGTTGAGCACCCTTAAACTTTGAAGGGCTGGGGTTTTTTTTCTCTATTTGATTTTCAGCTTGTGCTCATGAAACTTGATTTTTTTCCTAGAAGCATTAAAATTTAGTTAAAACAAGATGAAATCTTTCCCATGAATGGTGTCTACTTACCTCACTGTGGCTTATGCTACATTCTTGTTTTTAATTTAACATTTTGCTTGCTCATCTGAGCTATTTCCTCTCTTAAAAAGGTTAAAATATAGTATAAAATCAGCCTGGCACTTTTGGGTAACTTGAAGATAGCACTCTTCTGGTTGCCTTCCATGACCACCCTCCACCTTTTTTTTTTAATATATACACCTACAGGTTTTGTAACAACCAAATAAAATTCTAGCAATAATTTGAATTATACTGCTATATTTGTATATGCTATACCATAAATAGTATGTCTGTACCTGGAAGGTATTTTTTTGAGAACTGATTTATATGAAATATATTCGAGGGTAATGTAGCTTATCCTTTTTAGGTTCAGATTCTTATTCATAGGCAGATACTTTGAGGACACCTTAACTCTGTTGTATATACTTTTCTTTTGTATCAGAGAACTATACGTGGAGAAGTCAGTTTTATTTTTAACTTATCGTGTTCTTCCTGCCTCAAGCTTGCTGGCGAGCATCTTATTCCTGAGCCAGCTGTGCTGTACTGTACCATCCTCTCCCCCTACCAAATTTGGCACAGTTGTTTCTGCTACATCCCCAGACCTGTGAATGCCCTTGTCATTCTGTCTGAGAAAGTGCCCTATCTCCCAGGCAGAACTAGGGCATTTTAAACTCTTTTGTTAGGTTGGCTTAAGGAAAGAGCCCCCAAAGTCTACTTTATTAAGTGTGGATTTGGGAATCTTATTTGTGAATTGTCTTAACTTATCTAACCTGCAGCTTGTGCAGGGCTGTGGTCAGTCAAGTCTCACTTGCCACATCTTGGCTCTGAAAAGAATACTGGGCTTGTGGTGGTGCATTTGTTTTTGGTCTTCATTTGAAATACTTTCACCTTTTCCCTCTGGCAGCTCTTGCTGCCGCTGTTCCCCATGCACTGCTTCTTGGTGCTTTTTTTTTGGCCTTTTCCTGTGTGGTGTAATGTTTACTTAGAGGGCCTCCCCATAAATTATGGAGGCAAAAAGGTGTTATAGGAAGAGAAGGCCCAAAAGGAGAACCTGGCTTAGGAGTGACCATAGTGTCACGCTGAGGGCAGAGGGTCCTGGCACGTAGGGGTGTGTCTGCCACAGCAACGCTGACGAGTGGACACCTTCACCTGCCACTGGCTGCTTCCACTTCCGTGGGTGTTGCCTCACTTTCCTTTGCTAGACAGAACCCTGCCTCCCCCCACCCGCTGGGCTTGCTGGTCACAGTGGAAGATTGTGACTGTGATGGGCTCATACTCATAATGGCCCGTTCTTGTGTCGTTTTTAGTGACAGCTTTTGTTTGCTACACACCTCATTGGCTTGCTTGCCAACACCAGCCCGATGTGGTCCCTTCTTTCCTATCCAAACCAGAAAACATTTGGGTATTTCTGAGACTTTATAGAGCGTGTATTGTTTGTTATACGAACCTAACTTACCTTGTTGTTTTCTCATATTAAGAAATGTAAATCTACTTTGCCTTTAGTGGAGCTATTTTGGTAATGTAAAGCAATTTTTGGTTCTGCTTTGGGAATGAATTCAAGATTTCTACGACTTGATTTAAGCTTTGTTTATTTCTTTTCAGTAATACAGACATTTTAACTTATCTAAATAAAGCATTTCCTTTATCTCCCACTGTGTCTATGACTAAAGGTCCCCCCCTACCCCCAATAACTAAAAAAAAGAAAAAAATATATATATATTTATATATTTATATATTTGATCTATCCCTGTTTTTATGGACTCCTTCCTCCTCTTGAAAACAAGGACTAACAGATGGTAGGTGCAAAGTAATGTTCAGCAGTCTGCCTTAACCGTAAAATTTGGCCTAAAGCAGCAAAAGCAGCTTCTTTGGCATCTGCAGGATGGGAGGGGGCAGAGTGACACCCACACATACGCCCTCCCCCACCCTCCTTCCCCTGTAACAACCAGAGAAGCTACACTTAGGCCTATTGTATATTTGCAATTTCGTATAAGAGCATGTTTATAAGAAATACTTCACTGCCTTTAAAAAAGGCAGGAAATCCATTACAAGGGAATCACATAGGAACTGGGACTTTTTCATACACAGAAAAAAAATATGAGAAATTAGCTCTATATATTTGCTGGATTCTGGGATTACAAACACACACACACAAAAAAAAAAAACACATGCAATGTGGGTAGCCTTTCCCCTGGGGAACACTACATAAAATTTAGCTCATTTGCAAATACGGTGAGATGATTTCCTCATTCCTAAAGTGAAAGAAAAAAATTTATGCCCTGGGGCAGAACTGAGCTATCTTTAAATTGAGACCAAATAGCCATTGTTATCTTTCTTTTTAGAATCATTTCCCAAAGATACAAAAATTAATATTCCCATGGAGTGGATCTTAACTTTTGGAGAGGTCATGAATCCCTTTGAAAAAGATCTGAAAAAAAAAAATTGTAGATTCATTTCTGTATATCATTTTAGCCAATCCATGGCCCAAGTTAATTACACACACATGCACACAAAATCATTTGCCACATGTTTTCTGACAAGACATTAGAGAAGGGACACCACCATGTGTGGTAGGAAGATGAGGAACTTTGATACCAAGCAGAGTAAATTTGAGAGCTAACTAGGCAACCTAAAAATGAAATGGCAAATGGCCTTGGAATCTCTCTTCATCTGTAAAAGGATTATGTCCATTTGGCAATGTTCTTGTGGCTATCAAAAAATAATAAGGTGACAACCACATAAGAACTCCACACTTACAGTCTCCAGTGCAGTGTGACTCAGTGGGTGTCCTGATGACTTAGTTTGCCTGCGACATGGCATCTGTGCTGTATGGCCTCTGCCCATAGCTCACACACCCACAGGAACTATCACTCTTGTGGCAGCTGTGCTAAATGTTCAACAGAATAGCAGTGCCTTTGGGTACCTAGCCCAAGGGCTGGCACACATTTTTGGTCTTAAATACTGAAAAGAGGGATGTTGAGCCTATTGCAAGTACTGGTTCAGTGTCTCCCCACAGCCAACCCTTCAGTTCCATTGTGACTCAGTGACCTTCAGATTGGTTTACAAAGTGCCTCCATCAAACAGGAGAAGGACATTGCCTCCTCACAACAAATAAGACACAAGGGAGCCTTGGACTTTTTTTAATCTTCCATAATGTGACATCCAGGTGGACCCTGGCCTCTGTCAATACCACCTACTTGAGGTTACCTACTTCTGCTCTGCCCCTGACACTTCCAGCTCCCACCCTTACTGAGAGGAGGCTGCAGTTATGAAGCAAAAGGCTTGGCATAGCAGCAGTGGTCCTCAAGGGCCAGTGTGGGGAGGGAATGGAAGTGGATGTTCCTTTCAGGACATGTGGCCAAAGGGTAAGAGACTGAGTGGCTCAGCATTGGGGGTACATTGCACAGGGAGATGGCAAAGGACACCTCCTGAAAGATGGGAATTGGGAGTGGGGAGCTGGTCTGGGACCGTGGCACAGGGGAAGGTAAGGGCTGCTGTGGGAACAGCTGCAGTGCAGGTTGCAGAAGGACAGGGGTCTCCACCTTGGGGCTGCTGTCTTGGGCAGCATAGCTTCTGCTCTCCGGGATGTCCAACTCCCACAGAGGATCTGAATTCTGAACTTCAGCCTCAGTCTTGTTGAGAGCAGGGGTAGGGCCTGTGTTGATGGCTGCATTCATGCCACACGCCAGTGCTTGTTAATCCAGTACAACAGTGGACTGTAGGTGAACGTGGTGGCTCTCATCGCCTCCACCCACTCCTTGGCATGCTTTTCCTGATGCAAGTTTTTCCTCCAGTGCAGAAAGAGAATCCAGCTGCTGGTCACCACAGAACACAGCCCCAGGAATCCAAAGTACAGTGAAACCCACGCTAAGACAGTAAGAAAGAAAAAGAGGCAAGCTGGCTGATAGCTGTGGCCTGGGGCCTGAACTTTTCTCATTCCTCTCCTTGACCCATCATCCATCAATCATTCCATTCACTTACCCACTCTCTCCATTCCTTCCTTTTGCCCTCATTGACTTGCTGTCAAGAGTCTTCTTATTCAACCAAAGCTAGATTTCCAGGGAGTTTAAGAGACTACCTTTAGCTCTTCACAGATAAGGAAAGCTAGGTCTAGAGTAGGCATGACCTGTCCAGGTTCAATCAGGCCTCTGGTTCCCAGCCCTGGACCCATCCAATCCATCAGATTGAGAAACCTCCCTAAAGGCTCATCAAGGAAGGTAAAAGTTTACCAGTTGACAGGGACACCAATGCCCCATCCCATCCCACTACAGCCCTTAACCATCAGCTCTGATGATCCTGAGATATACACAGTACCTCTCTGGTTGGACAAAGAGACTTGGCTCTACCCTCAAAGAATCCTTAGTTTTCTAGGGAAATCATATGCTAACTGCTTAGTGCTCCTCCCCGCAGGCAGCCACCACCACAACCATGCAAAAGGTTTTCCCTGAGTGTCTGCCCCCAAGCTAAAGGCACAAAGCAAGGGATGGAGATTGGAGGGGCATTTACCACCTGGGAAGCTCAGGGGTCCTCCTTTTGGAAATCCATAAGGCTGATCTTGCTACCTGGCTGACAGCTCTGGAGACAGGAGGTCACTTACCCATCTGTCCAGCCAATAAGAATGCCCAACCCCCATTGTTACTTAAAGGTGAGGTCGTGGGTTCTGAGCATTGAGCAGTCTAGAGGCAGTACTTGTGAATGGAAGGAAGGGACTCCACCCAATGTCATCTCATAAGCATAATGTATCTCTACTGCTTCTATCAAGGACTGACCCACACACTGAATTGTGTCTGCCCTCTCCCTCTTACAGTGAACCCACAGGGCCACCCCCAGAAAGGCACCCAAATCTCTCAGGGGCTTATCCATGTTGCTGGGCCTTAGTGAATGACGGATACCTATCTCCAGTGGGGACTGGGGCAGGGAGCACACACCTTTGGGCAGCCCTGCCCTCAGGACATCTATGCAGGAGAAAACCTGCCCAAGGGAACTAAGTGGTCAACACCTCCTTCCTTGGCTCTTACAATCTCACTTTTGTCTCATTACCTTTCTTCAGCAAATGTTGGCAAGTGTTTCCTGGACCCCAGGCCCTGTGGGAACTCCCCACCATCTGGCCCTACATCTCTTTCTAGCCTCACTTCCTCCCCCATCTTTCACATACCTTTCCTTTCTGATCCGGCCAGACTCCTTAACAGACCCTGCTTATTCACATCCCTAGAGTTTTGTTCACATGGCTCCTTCTCCTAGGAGTGCCTCTTCCCACTGAACTCCTGCTCATTCTTTCAGGCTCAGCTAAACCCCCTACTGTGTGACTGTTGTGCCAGTTGGCTTCCCAGAATGACACCATCTCCAGTCTGAGGAGACCTTGAGAGTTGTCTATTCTAACTCCCACCAGATGCTTGAGACCTGGAGGTGCATTTTCCCTACCCAGCAACCAATACCCCGAAACTCATTTGGGTCAGGAACTTGCTCACACCTCCTGAGGCAACTTAGTCCATTTATGGGAAACTCAGTTAGAAAGCCCTTCCCTAATTAAGCCCAAGTCAGCCTCCCTATAGGTTGCACTCTTGGGCCTAGCCTGGCACTGTTTAATTCCCTCTTCATACTCTCCCAGCATGTCACTTGGGCATTCTGTAGCACAGATTTCTCTCTAGGTTCCCTTACCCTTGGCTCTCCTTCTCCCTCACTGGCTCCTGCCTTTCAGTCTCCTTTGCTGGTTTCTCCTCTTTTCTCTGATCTCTAAATGTCAGCATGCCCTAGGGCTCCATCCTTAGCTCTCTATCTCCATTCGTTCCTTCAGTGATCTCATTCAGACTTATTGCTTTACATACCATATTTACACTGATACCTTACAACTTTATCTCTAGCCCAGACCAATCCTCAGAACTTTAGACTAGTTGACCCAACAGCTTGGTTGACACCCCTACTTACCAGTCTATTAAGTTATCTCAAATTGACATGTCCAAAAGCAAACTTCTGATCATCTGTCCTCCAAAACCTACACCAGCCTTCCTCCTCTACTTAAATCAGCAACTCTGTCCTCCCAGTTGCTCAGACCTAAAGCCTGTAGATCATCCATGACTCCTTTCATTCTCACACCCACATTCATTCCATTAGCAAAATCTTCAGGCTTTGCTTTCAAAACATACTCAGCAACTGACCACTTTCCCATCACTATCACCTTATTCTAAGAACCACCATCACTTATCCCAGACATCCAGACAGATCATTCCTTCTTTTCCTTCAGCTCTCTGCTCAAGGGTCCTCTTATCTCTATCTCTATTAGTCTGCTTTGTTTTTCTGCATAGCACATACCATCACCTGATGTTATATATTTATTTATTGTCTGTTTCACTTCACTAGAATATAAGTTCCATGAATTGATGTGAACAAGGAAATAAATACCTAAGAATTTCAGATAATCATAGCTGCTATGAAGAGAATAAAATAAGCTAATGGGATAAAGAATATAAAGGGATGAGGGGTTGAGGGGTTGCATCAAGAAAAGTCCCTTTGAGGTGCTGATTTATGAACCCCACCCTAAATTATGAGGAAACAGCCACAGGCATATCCAAAAAGACGGATCAGCCAGTGCAAGGATCCTGAGGTAGGTACAGGCCAGCACACTGGAAGGTCTTACTCATCTCATCTTAGAGCCCATCACACTACTAGCACAAGCCAGGACCCAGGGCCAGTCTTCATGAATGTAGGTTAGACTGAGCAGAGTTGAAGGCTCTGTCCTTGCCCTTGAGGCATCCACCATTCAGGAAGGGTTTTTATCAGGGGAAGGACTTCCATGAACGCAAACATCAGTACCGTCACAGAGGGCCTGCTCCAGGCCTGGCCCTGTGCTGGGAGCAGGTAAGACACAAAAATGTTGATGCAACTGTCTCCGACCCCAAGAGTTCACACCTGGTTCAAGGGTGGCACTCGGTGGAGAGGAAGGAGGTAGTGTAAATACTTTTCAAAAACAAATTTTTGAAAAATTTGTTGGTGTTTCTTTGGGGAGGAAAGTAGTTGAGTTTGGTGGAGTTCAAGGTGGATGTTAGGAAGCAGAGGGAGACAACGTTTCAGAGCACCTGGCATCTTGAAAAAAATTCAGTCCTTGAGTAGAACTAGGAAAAGTCTCTTAATGACTCAGCCTCAGTTTGCTAATCTGTAAAATGAGCAAAAAACCTGCTCCACAGGGTGGGAAGCGGATAGTGCTCTGCCCATCAAAACGCTCAGTAAAGATAAGCTGCTACTGTGATTGTAGTTGATGAACGGGCCTTCAATGCTTAAGGACGACTGCTACAGCGAGTGCCAAGAGAATTTAAAAGGAAGCAAGCTCCGTGAGGACGAGCAGGTCCAAGCGGCTTTCAAGAGGAGATCTGGAGCGCAGAGGCTGCTGGTCCTGGGCGGGGGCGTGTGACTCCTAGCAGCTGGGGAAAGGAGGCGGCCCGGGGCACACAGAGCAGCGAGCGCGCGAGCCCGGAGCGGAGCGGCCAACCCCCTCCTCATTCCCCTCATTCCCCTCATCCCCCCAGCACACACCGCGGCCCCGCCTCGCAGGCTTCTGCCTTCCTCGGTGCCCGGAACCTTGGGCGCGCGGAACCTCGGTGCCGGAACACGGGCGCAGCGGACCCGGGGCGCGATGGAGCGGGCGCGCGGGCTGCGGGCCGAGGCCGGCGAGCCTGAGGAGGAGGAGGAGGTCGGGGAAGCCATGGCTGCCGCGGTGGCGGCAGCGGGTGGCGCGGGCCCGGCAGTCCTGCAGGTAGCCGGCCTCTACCGGGGCCTGTGCGCGGTCCGCAGCCGCGCCCTGGGCCTGGGGCTCGTGTCTCCCGCTCAGTTGCGCGTGTTCCCTGTGTGCCGCGGCTCGGGCCGGCCCTCGGGGGTCGCCGACGGCAGTGGCGTCGGGGCAGAGCTCGAGGCCAACCCCTTCTACGACCGCTACCGCGACAAGATCCAGCGGCTGCGCAGGTGCGGGCCCATCTGGCCGGCGGCAGGCGGGGAGGAGGGGCGGTGCGCGGCCCGCGTTTCTGGTGTATCTGACCCTTTCGGTGCTTACGGCAACCCTGCGAGGGGCCACTATTACAGTCCCCACTCTACAGATGATGAATCTAGGCTCAGAGAGGTAAGGGCGCTTGCCTGAGGTCACACAGCTGTTGTCAGAGCTTAGAGTCTCAGCAAAGCCCTGGCTCTTCCCCAGTTGTCATTGTGCTTTACCTCCCAAAACGCAGAGTTGGACCCTTAGGACAGATCTTATGAAGCAGGCAGTCCTGTCCTCGTTATAGAAGTGGGATAATGGAGCCTTCCAGAGAGGGGTCTTGGACTTGCTCAAGGTCGCATATCAGCTGAGGGCCAACCTAGAACTCAGGTTCCCAGATTCCTGTAGAGCCCTGGCTGCAAGGAACGGAGACTGCCGGGTGGGACCAGGGCATCAAAGAGGAATAGTGCCACAGTTGGATCATCAATTGAACACCTTTTGTTAAGATGTGGAAACAGGATCAGAGAGCAAGAGACCTGCCAGAGTTCACATGGAATTCATCTGACTTGGAATCCAGGTTCCTAACACTACCCCTCAGCTTCCTGGTGAAAAAGAGGAGATTGAGGTGGGTGTCAGGGGGCTGCAGGAGGGTCTGAAGAGTTCAAGTGGAAGGAGCTGAAGGAGATCAAAGATCAAAATTAAAGAGGCTTGGGAGAGAATTTGGCAGGGTAGGCGGACAATTGGCTTATGAAAGGAAACTGAAGACAGTACCTTAACTTCTTTGATTTCTGTCTCATATCTACTGACACAGACTTAATTTTCTCTTCATCACCTCCACCTGGACTGTTGAAATCATCTTCTAGCTAGTCTGCCCCACTTCCAGTCTTGGACCCCTCCACCCCAATCCATCTCACTACTCCTACAGGAGTAAATGCATGAATATTCTTGCTGTCCTTCCAACAGCATTCAGATGTACTCAAGTATTTGTCATCTAAAAACCTTCCCTGAACCTAGATTCCCTCTCAGCCTTGTCTCATTGATCCCTTTTGACACAAGCATCTCAGAAAAGTTGTCTACTCATACTCTGTGTACTTCACAGTTGCCATTTATTCTTACTCAAGAGCAAACGAATGACTGGCTTTACCGTTCTTCGCCATTAGGTCTTTCCATTAACTTTCACACGTAACTGCTGTCTCCTGGAGAGTGAGCTTCCCAAGGCTCCCCACTGACCTCTGGGTAATGTCCATTTTCCTTAGTGTTGCCCACAATGCTCTCATGCTGTAGTACCTGCAGGTGTCTCTGCTTTAGCTATTACCAAAACTTCCTTTGAGCAGTTGGTGTAGCACAAAGGAATAAAGGAAAAAGGTTGGAGGAGAATGTCCCAGGTAAGGGGAGCAGCAGCAGAGGTACAGAGCCATGAAACCACATCAGCCTATTGGGAATGTTTAAGCAAGTTTTCCTCATAATACCTACAGTATATCAGTGTACTTATTTACCTGCCTTTCCCTCACACTAGATAATAGGAAGCTCCTTGAGGTAGAGGCTCTGTCTTTTTATTTTTTGTATCCCCATAGCCCAGCAAGGGCAAGAGATAAGTTTGTTGGGTGAATGAAAAGGAAAGGGGAAAAGTTAAGTCCGAGGAGCTGACTGGGACAAGAATGGGTGAGATGGGAGGGGAAGCTGTGTAGATACAAAAAGGAAAAGAGCATGAGGTTGAAGTAATGAAAAGGGAGATAAAAAAGCAGGACCAAAAAAATGTCAGTAGAACTTGGGCCAAGTTAAGGGAAGAGGCAAGACAAGTGGCCTTAGGGCCCAAGACCAAGCAGGATATCATGAGATATTTTAAAGGGAATTACAGCCCTGATTGGTTAGTGCTGGTGCATACTCACTAAAACGTGGGCTCTGGGAGTGCCAGCCACTGATTTGGGGTGAGCCAACAGCAGGATAAGGCTGTGTGCCCTGCTGACCTCATTCCAGCCCACTGTCTGTTTTTTTTACATCACACTCTACTGGGGAATTAGATTTGATCTAGCTCCAGGCCAACAACACTTAGTAGTAGACAAGCTGGAGGGTATCCAGAGAGCAGGTCCACAGTGAGGAAATATTCACACATTACCTATCTAAGAAGGGGCCAAAAAAACCCAGTAAATTTAACCTGAAGAAAATTAGGCTCAGAACATTTTAAAACAAAAGATATCTAAGGCAGGAGTGCACAGCCTAGGCCACCCCCTCCCTCTGAAAACTCGCCATGAAAGCCAAGATGTGGCTATGGACAGTGGCAGCACTGACCTTGGTCCTGGCCCTTGCAGCCCTGCCACACCCTACTAGGCAGGACCCCTGGAGTGACTCTCCACTAAGGAGTTTGCCCACTATGGAGGGGAGGAAGAAGATCTGCCCACATACCTGCAGTGAAGGGGGTGGTATTTATTGTCACCTCTGTAAAGAAGTTTTATAGAAGAGGGGTCCCCTACAATGCCTTAACCAGGAAGGACTTCACCAGAAAGGTGACCCTAATATCCTTGGATCCTGCAGCCTTCATCCATGATAAATACATGTCTTATGGCCGAGGAACTAGAGTCCCCGTATAATGTCTTCACCAAAGTATACAAAGCCAAGTATCACATCATTGACTACATGGCCTAAATAATTCTTAATAAGAATGGCAGCCCAAACTTGGACTTCAGGCATGCAGACCAGACCCATTTTGAAATAAAGGATAAGTTCTGTGGTTCCATCTGCAGGAGCATATTCTTTGGAGAAAGGTTCAGGGAGATACTTGGGTGCTAAATGTGCAAAATAGGCTGCCTGAGGCCTCTGAATCACCTGCATCTGAAAAAACAGATGTTTAACTTGGGATGATGGGAAGGTGTTCAAGAGATAGATGTGTTAAAGTAAAAGATTGACACTTATAGGACTGTTATAGTATTCCTGCCTGAAGAGGTGACCCAACAAGATGACTGCAGAGTCATCTTCCCATCTTGAGAATTTGAGATCCAAGTACTCGAGAGTGTAAGTACCTGAGGAACTAAGTTCTGTGTCACCTAAGAGAATATCCTACAGGAGAAAAATATTACACAGGCCCCTTGAGGACTGAGAAGGGTTGAATAACTGGATGCTAGAGAGGTCTCTGTGGAAGTGAAACATGATGCTTTGTTATTTCCAAATCCAAAAAGGCCCAGGTGGTTTAACTTCTGGTTTACTTGTGATCAGGTCTGACCCAGCTGCTTTTGAGTCCCGACTGGAAAAGCGTGGTGAGTTTAGGAAGCAGCCAGTGGGGCACTCCAGGCAAGGTGACTTTATCAAATGTATGGAACAGAAGGTAAGAACTGCCCCTTTTTGTGCCGTTGGCTGACTAGTGCTCTACCTGCCATCCCGAGCCCTTCTCCTGGGAGTGGGCTCATTGATGGTCGGCTGGGTGAGCTGAACATAGCCCCTCTCTACTCAGCTCAGTCTCCATCCTGCTTTTTCTGGCAAGGTGCTGTGGTCATGGTAGAGAAATAGGGGGATGAAAAGAGTAGTCCCTGTTGCCAGGGGATGCAGTCAAATGGTTAGAGCAGGGCACATAGAGGCAGTGGGCTATAGGGATCTGGGGGCAAAAAAGTGCTTAATAGCTGTTATCCTCAAACAAGAATCAAAAGCTGGGGAAAAGCATCTTGAAGGCTGTGTATAGGAAAATTAATCCAATACAGTGCTTTTCAAATGTTTTGAGCATGACTCACTGTAAGAAATATATTTCACATTGTAATTCAGTGCACACATATGTTTAAGATTATAACTGAAACAAAAATTTTACAAGGAAATGCTTTTAATACATTCAATGCACTCTTACTATTTTATTTTCACCTTTTAAAACCTTTGGCCATAATCAACTAAATTGAATTCACAGCTTATGATCTGTAAAGTCCTAATGTAGGTGGTACAGAGAACAAATTAGAGTGGGAGAGTCTGAAGCCAAGGAGAACATGCCATAAGGCAGGTGTGTGCTTTGTGGGCCTGAAATAAGGTAGTCACAGTTGGGAATCTACATTGTGTTTCAAAGTGAGAGATGTTTATTTTATTTGGAGAATAACTTTTCTTGCCTTGGGTATCCCTAATTTTAAGGGAATCCATTGAGGCTTTTAATAACAGGTTGGACACTAACATGAACAATATTCAATGGGTTAATCATTGCGAAGTTGAGCAAATTCAACCTCTGTGACAGGCATAGTTTACAACTTTATGTGAACAAACAGCTCTCTGCTGCAAATATTTTAACAAATGTAAAATCTTATATAAGCATTTAAGTCAATAACTCTTGGGAATATTACTGTATTATAAACTTTCAGTATGATATGGGAAAGCTCTTTGCCCCCTTTTGAAAATAGACGTAGAAATTCAACTCTGTGATGACAAAATGCAGAATAAGTAAAGACTTAGTTTAAATCCTGGCAACTCTTAGCCCCCTTTTGAAAATAGACGTAGAAATTCAACTCTGTGATGACAAAATGCAGAATAAGTAAAGACTTAGTTTAAATCCTGGCAACTCTTAGGTAAATACTCACTCACTGTTTTTCTTAGCTAGAAAAAGGCTAATGACTAACGGCTGCATTCCCAAAGCCTTTTCTTTACTTTGAGTTATTGGTTCCCTACCAAGTAAGACTCAACATCATCACCTTTTTATGAAAAAAATTTTTCTTTTCTAGCTTAAAATGATATGTAGACAATATAACCCACCTACACACTAATTTCAAGGGGGAAAAAAATCAGTATAATGCCCTAACTAATATAAAGCAAAACGTTTTTTAATAAAATACCTATTTCAGTGTGCAGTGTGCAGGTTCTTGGGCATGCAGTCATAATGCTTTCACCTATATGTGGAATCACCATGGATTCATAAGCAGCAAATGCTGACTGGTATATGGATATTGAGCTGGTAATTATAAAAATTCCCAAACCATGAGTAGTGTTGTTATCGGTGACCCACATGAGATTCCACAATGTACATTCTTCTTTCAAGTTATATAATAGTTGCATTTCTGAAAAATTCAGTGTTTATTAAAAACACAGAAAAAGAGAGTTAGATTCTAGGCCCAGGTTTTTCACCTACAAGGATATCTGGCCAGGCATTGAGAAGTTGTGCAGGCTGAGAAAAATTTTTAGTTTTATAGAGCTTATTGCAAAATTGCAATTCCTTGCCACCCCTGCCCCTCTCATAAATGTAGGTGTTACCATCCAGTCAATTATTGTGGTAACAAAAAACTTGTCCCCATAGATTCCCAGAGCATCCATAGAGGAGTAGTAAAGTACCATTTAAATTTTTTATTAAGTGCTCTTGAGATTTTTGGCACATAATTTTAAACTATAATTTTAATTACCTAATTTCATTGGTTCTAAAGCCCACATTTTTTTTATATTTTAACATCTAAGAACCTTAAAATTGATGTGATATGAAAGTACTGTTATTGTTTAATTGGCATCATTTTCTGATACATAAAATAATGGTGCTTCTTAAGATCAGTTGGTATCTTAGGTTAGATAAAATGCAATAAACTTATACTTGGAGCTTAAATTTTTTATTTCTATAAGTGAAAATGGAAACAAATTGATTGGAGGGACATTATGACAAAAGAACACTCTGGGCTTAGTGATTGAAAGGTAAAGGCAGCTGTGCAAATAGAGGGTTTTTGTTCTGTTTTTACAATACAGCTGAAGGTGAGTGGTATAGAAATGAAATCAATTCTCTCTCTTTTGAACAGTTTATGTAGGAAGGAAAGGCTACAGTAGGGTGCTGCCAATGTATGGGTGCACGACCAAAAAGACTAGGGTGTACCCAATAGGTTTTTATACACCAGGCTTTTGTCTAATTTGTGGGTATAAGTTCTATGGGCTTCATTTGTGAAAGATTTTGGTTCATTAAAGCACAGAATAATGCAAGGCAGGGTTTTATACAGAAAATGTTTTTCAGCCTCAGAATCCCAGTTGTAGATTGTACTCCTTCTGAAAGGCATGGTCTTAAACTGAAAAATATGAGTGAAGACCCAGAACAACCCATCTTAACTATCAGAAACAACTTGAAATAGAATTTCCTGACTGGCCTTTATCAGAGATAGTGGGCTAGTAGAGCACATAGTCACTTTTAGTTGTTTGTATCCTTTTTGAAGGAGTAGTCTGATTTGATGGAGGGAATATTAAGTACTGGAAAAGACTCTACAGTCTACTGAGGATGCCTGCGTTCAGAACTGCTGTCACAGATAAGAAGCAGCCTTGAAAAATATGATTCCATTTCTCACCACCTCTGTGGCTCAGTGTGAAAGCAGATGAGAGGGCAGAGCACAGGAAACTCAAACAGACCTCATTCTGGGAAGAAGTCCCTCATATCCATGGTGGCAGGTATGGAATGGACTCCTCTCAGTACTGGTAGATAGTGGTTACTAATAAAGAAATCCTTTCTCATCTCAGTATCTCAAAAGCTCAGCCAAAGAAAAGTTATCTCACAAACAGTAACTCTTAGAATATTGTGTACTGTGTAGAGTGGATAGAAATAAGTTCTCAGGTGCAAAATTGCTAAATGAGGTAACGGGCACATCACCTAGTCTGGTGGTCTTTTTCTTTTGAGTAAAGTATAGATTAATGTTCCTGTCTCATGTATTTCAGACAGACACCTTGGGGAAACAGCCTATGAGCAGAGGATTTACTAAGGACAAGGTAAGTTTCTAATTAAATATCCAAGTCTTAAGTCACATGGAACATCTATAACAAGAGGCTACAGATTTGGACCTATACTGAGGTTCAGTGATTTTTTATTTTTCCAGTGGTGAAGATGAGAAGTATGAATTTCTATGAATTTCATAGAAGTATTTCTATGAATTTTTGTGTCCTTGATATGACCCTAGCATAGTGTGGGTCTTGGGGGTGCTAGAGGAAATATGATAACCTTCTTTCGTATAGGAAGTAGTAAAAGAAATAAAAATAAAAACATACTAATCCTCATTTGATGTGCAAATAAGGAGCCACCCCTGATAGAATAGCAGTTCCATTAAAGATAACCAGATGTCCTCCTCTTACCAGCTGCAAAGTGCTGCCGTGCTCATTGGTGAGGGTGGAGCATTTGGGAAGTATCTACAGATACTCTCTGGGAATAAAATTGTGAAAACCTGCCTGGGCTGGGGGCTCACTTCTCTGAACTTGCAAGTTATCTTATACTTGTTCTCTACTGAAGATTTGCTTCACTGTCATGTTTCTAAAGGCTTACAGATAGAGTTAAGCTGTTTTATTTTTTAAATTGTGGGTGTTAATTGCCTTTTATTTTCTCTTGCAGACTCTCAGTTCAATCTTTAATATTGAGATGGTGAAAGACAAAACTGCAGAAGAAATAAAACAGGTAATGAATGAAAATAAGTTAGGATACTTTATGAAAATATGTGCTCTGTGAACTGAATCTGGAAGTAGAAAGGAGCATACATTTCCTGATACCTCTTTCTAGCCAAAATGAAAGGTGGTCATAGAAAGCAAAAATGATGAATTACATGAAAAATAGTGGCATAAAAATACTCATCTTTCTTAGTCTCACTTCTCTGTATCTGATCAATGCATTTCATTCTTGTTGCTCACATCTTATTTAAAATCATCTCTATGGTGGTGGTGGTGGCTGGGGGACACTGAGGGAATCAGAATCAGGGAGTACCCATTCACCTCTAACACCACTTGCTCTCCCGCTCAAGCTCCTCCCTTGGGTCTCTCACAGTCAGGGTAAATAAATCAATCAGTAAAATCATCTCTGCTCCAAGATGCCTGTACTACTTTCCTAAATAGGTTTCCCTCATTTCTCCCATTCCCCCTATCATGTCCTCAACATCTGAGTCCTCTTAAATTCTGCTTTCATTAGGGAGAAGCACAGTATACTACTTAAGAACACAAACTTTACAACCAGAACCAAAGTTTTAAGTCCTAGCTCTGCCACTTACTAGTTGAGTGACTTTGATAAGTTGATGAACCTTTCTGGTCCTTAGTTTCTCTATATACAAAGTGAAGATAATAATATTACTTACCTCATAGAATTATTTGTAGAATTAAATGAGTTAATATTTGTAGAGCACTTAGAACAGTGCCTGGCCCAGAGTTAGTGCTATATTTGAGTTTTTAAGTAAATGAATAAGAATAAATATTATGTTAGTAACCTACTCACAAATTTCAATGACTTCCTATATTCCTTTGCTTGATATTCAGTCTTCCGGTATTATAAGAACTTTACAGGAAGCCACCTTGACGTGTTCAAAGGACTCATAATCTGTCCTGCCTATGTGGTCATACCATATACTTTGATTTGCATTGCTGTTTATATTTTCATATCTGTGGATTTTTTTCTAATTAGACTATAATAAGTTTATTGGCTTTCCCTGTAGTTCCATGAATTATATTTTAGGTATATTGAGAGAATCAAAATAATAATAAAAGTAGTATACTGTGTATCAAATACTGTACTTAGTGCCTCAAATGCACTATTTTATTAAATTCTCATAACCACCTTTTAAATAGGTGCTGTTATTCCCAATTTACAACTGAGGAAACTATAACTTAAAGAGATTAAATAATTTAGTCAGTGGTAGAACCAGGACTCAAACCTTTTTTGGGAAGTTGTGCCAATTGCCATGGGCTTCCTTTTAGTGCTGTATCATTCACTGAATGCCTATTAAATGTCACGTTCTATGCCAGACACAGAAATAAATGAGAGTCTCCTACTCTCAAAGAGTTTCAGCCTAGTGGGAGGACAGACACAAAAACAAATAAGAACAGCACAGGGTTCTAACTTACGTTAATAGAGGCTTATGCAAAGTCTCAGGGAGACCTCAAACTGCCTTTGGAAAGGAATCCCAGTAGATAGAGGACACCAAGCATGTCCTTTAGGGGAGAGAGGAGCCAGGCCCAGGAGGCCTGATCATATGACAAATATCATTTAGACATACAGACCTGTAATTTGATGTGTTCATTAAAATAATTTTGAGTAACTAAGGTCAACTATGTTAGGAAAGATCTATCAGTCTCATAAATTTCAGTGTTGATTCTTAAACTACGAATATAAGTTAAAAAAAAAACAAGTGGGATATGCTGTCCTTAAAATGACAAGACATTGTTTTGTCATGAAAAAAAAAACAACAAAGCAACTTTAGGCTGCACTGCTAGAGCGATTTGCCCAGGCCCTAGGAGATAATAGTCCTTCTGTGCTCTCTGTCGGTTAGGTCACACTTTGATTAGTATCTTCAGTTAGGGGCCCCCATTTTAATGGAAGTGTTGACAAAGGGAGCAACTCTATAGGAGGATGACCCATTCTTCCACACCAGCTCACTCAGATACCTTAGCTGTGATGCCTTCTGCAACTTACGCCTTTGCTAATACTGTCATTCTCTGCTTAGAATGTATCTTTTCTATCCTACCTGTTTATCTTCCCAGCCTCCCTGTTTACCTGGCTAGTTTCTGATCATTTTCAGGATACAGCTCAATTGTCCCTTTCTCCTGTCCTCATTCCCTAACTTGAGTTAAGTACCTCCTTGTTGCTCTCAGAGCACCTTGGCTCTGTTGTGGTAAGCACAAACCCACATTTCAGCTAGGCTTCACAACAGTTCTGTGAGATTGATGTTATTGCTATTTTATTGAGGATTATATTGATGTTATTTAGTGATTTTCAGTAATTTTCCCAAAGTACCATAGCCAGCAAATGACTGGAGCTGGTATTTGCATCCAGGTCCACCTGACTCCAAACCTTGGGTTCTGAATGAGTGATATCCTGGTTCTCTGAGAAGGCCCACAATTGGTTTTGTTTTGGGGAATGAAGAGAGAAGATATAAAAAAAAGAACCTTTTATATACAGGCACATGTTGAGAGAAATAATTAACAAGGCATAGAATTCATTCATCTGATAGAAATTTGTTATTAAGAGTTACAGTTTAATCATCTAGAAGAGTAGATGGTATTAAATCTTTTTTATAATCATGTTCTAGTAATAAAAGCATTACATTGGGTTTTCCTCCCTGTTATTAAGTAGCATATTACTCTGGGCAATGAAAGCTGTCACCATTCTTGGTGCATGTTGAAAAGATTAGCCACATGTCACAGACAACCTCTCCTTTTTTGTACAGATTTGGCAGCAGTATTTTGCAGCAAAAGATACAGTCTATGCAGTTATTCCCGTAAGTAGTTTGGAGGGGAAAATGAAAGTGATACAGCATGAAGGTCAGGGCTCTAACCTTAGCAGGCAGTTGCCTTTACTTTACCCATGTTTATTGCCCCTTGAGAACTTACATTTATAGCTCTGAGGGCTTTTATTATGCCCTGAGCACCAAAGATTGGAAGCTCCAAATGGTATATTTATGGCTCTTGTTTTCCCTCTTTCTGGTTTAGAAATGTCTCTTTGAGTCAAGTCTCTGACAAGGGAGCACAGTGTAAGTTCATGTTGCGGAGCAATTTCCAAATGTCTTTTATTTCTTTTTGGTGTTTTCTAACCAAGCTGTTTGAATTTAAGATAGGGCCTCTAGCATAGCTTTCTTCCCTTCTTGTCTATAAGTGACCTATACCTGAGCTGACTTGGAGCCTCCACCTAGTCTTTTCTGGCATTTCCCCTTAGCAAGTGGCATTTTCTTGTTTTGTTTTGTTTTTCATTCTTTCTTGAAATTACTGTCTTGGAAATAGTCATTGGCTACTGCTCAACCATTGAGTTCTGTGACTGGGAAGGGGTCCTGCTGGCTTCTGGTTTAATGTACTTCTGCTGACTTCTACAATAAGAAAGCACTTGATGTACTGGGTTATCAGCCAGTTCTTTAATTGTTCTTCTTCTCCAAAGAGGAACTAGCTTAGGTTAAGTTTATATCAAGCACACCAATATATACTGAGTTTACAAGTGTAAGTTTAAAGTTAAGGAGACAGAAAAATAAAGCCAGGCCTCTTGGTTGTTGAGAGAATATTGCTATCTTTTTTTTTTTCTGTCTTTTACACATCTGTGCCCTTGCCCTTGATGAGTTCAACAGCTGAAAGGATCTGCACTTTTCGTATTTTAGATGTCTAATCTGAAACTTTGAGCCAGCCTTCTTAACTCTCCCTTGGACAGACTTCATGACCTCGTGTCTCTGACACTCAGCAGAGTACCCTGGAGAGTTGGGGCATTTGGAGTATCCACTCTTCACACGTAATTCTGACATTGAACAGCAAAGTGTACTTCTGGTTTTTTCTCTTCAGGAATTTGAAATTTGTTTTAGTTCTTTAGTTCTAGAGTTCAGTCTTGGTGAATTTAAATGTGATTATGGCCTTCTATGTTTTCTTATTTTTGAATTTTATTCTTTTCTTACCTCCAGGAAGAAAAGTTTGATTTGATCTGGCACCGGGCTCAGTCCTGTCCGACAGTAAGTTTCCAATGATCATATGAGGATTGCTTATCAGTGCTGCCAAATAAGACTGTTTTCTAGACAATCTCTTCATACTCCGTATTATCTCACATGTTATAGTGCTCTGTTTATTTTTAAAAGATGCTTAAATGTTGATTGTACTGATAAATGAGATTTTTCAACCTCTTGAAATCATGTGGGGTTGGCCCAGTTGGTCCTGGCTTTTTAGCTCTCTGACACATCTCAGCCCTTTCTGATGTGGATTTTAATCTGTCAGTATAAGTGAATGTTGGAGGCAACACCAGAGACCTTAATATTTTCCACCTCCTTTAAGTTTCTGTTTTATTGACAGTTCCTTTCAGTTTTGGCCATGCTATCCTGATTATATGTGCCTAAAAGGAATTATGAGATTGTTGCTGGAGTAATGAGCTGCCAGAAGACCAAAGGGAAAGGGAATTGGTGAGGTGGACCAGCTGACTTAGCGTCGGTAATAATTTCTAGGATTCTCAAAATTTCTCAAACATTAACTGAAGAAAATAAAAAAGCATTTAAATAAATAGAGAGATATACTGTGTTCATGGATTAGATAGCTAAATATTATTATCATTTCTCCCAAAATTGATCTCTTCATTAAATATAATCCCAATCAAAATCCCAGTAGGCTTTTTTTTTTTATAAAGAAATTGACAAGCTGATTTTTAAAATGTATTTAGATATCCAAAGGACCTAGAATAACAAAACAGTTTTGGAAAACAAGAACAAAGTTAGAGCACTTATATTACCTGATTTCAAGGTGTACTACAAAGCTACAGTAATGAAGACTCTAGTACTGGCATAAACATAGACATATAGACTAGTGAAACAGAACAGAGAATAAAGAAATAATCCAACATATGTATAGTCAGTTATCTTTCAGCAAATGTAAATAATGGGGAAAGGATAATCTTTTCAACAAATAGTATAGAACAATTGGATATCTATATGAAAAAAAAAAAAAAAAACGAACCTCTACTCTTACACTGTATCCAAATATTAACTCAAGATAGATCACAGATGTAAACATGACTTCTAGAAAAAACAGTCATAGATTGAATCTTAATGACCATGGATTTAGTGATTTAATGATCTTACATTGAATCTTAGTGATCTTGAGTTTGGCAAAATAATTCTTAAGTATGTCACAAAAGCATGAACTATAGAAGAAAAAAATCAATAAATTAGATTTCATCAAAATGGAAGTTTTCTATTTGTATACCTATGTTCCTAGCAGCATTAGTCACACTAGCTAAAAGGCAACCCAAGTGCCCATTGATAGATGAATGGATAAACAAAATGTGGTATATACATGTAACAGAATAGTATTCAGCCTTAAAAAAGAAGGAAATCTGACACAGGCTACAGCATGGATGAACCTTGAAGAATTATGCTAAGTAAAATAAGCCAGTCACAAAAGGACAAATACTATGTGATTCCACTTAAATGCATACCTATAATAGTCCAATTCATAAACAGAAAGTAAAATGTTGATTGCCAGGGCTTGGAGGGAAGGAGATAGGAGTTATTTAATGGGTATAGAATTTCAGTTAGATGATGTGAAAACGTTCTGGAGATGGGTGATAGTGATGGTTGTGTAACAATGTAAATGTACACTGAATTGTACACTCAAAAATAGTTAAAATGATAACTTTTATGTATATTTTACCACAAAAAAATTAAGATTTTCTACTTTTCAAAAGATATGAAAGTGAAAAGATAAGCCACAGACTGGGAGAAAGTATTTGTAATACATACATTGACAAGTGACTTGTATCTAGAATGTATTAAAAACTTACAACTTAATAATGAGAGGCTAGGCAACCCAGTTAAAAAATGGGCAAAAGATTCAAACAATTCACCAATGAAGTAGAATGGGCAATAAGCACCTGAAAAAATGTTCAATGTCATTAATCGTAATGGAAATTGGAAATCAGAATTACAGATACCACTAGAATTCTAGACTAAAATTTAAAAACTGACCATACCAAGTATTGATAAGGATGTGGAGAAAATGAAATTCTCAAAGACTGCTATAATGTAAAGTGGTATAACAACTTTGAAAAACAGTCTAGCAATTTCTTTCAAAGTTAAGCATATATCTGCCATACTAAGCCATTCTTCTCTTAGATATTTTCCCAAGAGAACTGAAAGCATATGTCCATATAGTAACTTGTACACAAATGCTCATAGCAGCTTTATTTGTAATACTCAATCTCTTCATACTCCGTATTATCTCACATGTTATAGTGCTCTGTTTATTTTTAAAAGATGCTTAAATGTTGATTGTACTGATAAATGAGATTTTTCAACCTCTTGAAATCATGTGGGGTTGGCCCAGTTGGTCCTGGCTTTTTAGCTCTCTGACACATCTCAGCCCTTTCTGATGTGGATTTTAATCTGTCAGTATAAGTGAATGTTGGAGGCATCACCAGAGACCTTAATATTTTCAACCTCCTTTAAGTTTCTGTTTTATTGACAGTTCCTTTCAGTTTTGGCCATGCTATCCTGATTATATGTGCCTAAAAGGAATTATGAGATTGTTGCTGGAGTAATGAGCTGCCAGAAGACCAAAGGGAAAGGGAATTGGTGAGGTGGACCAGCTGACTTAGCGTCGGTAATAATTTCTAGGATTCTCAAAATTTCTCAAACATTAACTGAAGAAAATAAAAAAGCATTTAAATAAATAGAGAGATATACTGTGTTCATGGATTAGATAGCTAAATATTATTATCATTTCTCCCAAAATTGATCTCTTCATTAAATATAATCCCAATCAAAATCCCAGTAGGCTTTTTTTTTTTATAAAGAAATTGACAAGCTGATTTTTAAAATGTATTTAGATATCCAAAGGACCTAGAATAACAAAACAGTTTTGGAAAACAAGAACAAAGTTAGAGCACTTATATTACCTGATTTCAAGGTGTACTACAAAGCTACAGTAATGAAGACTCTAGTACTGGCATAAACATAGACATATAGACTAGTGAAACAGAACAGAGAATAAAGAAATAATCCAACATATGTATAGTCAGTTATCTTTCAGCAAATGTAAATAATGGGGAAAGGATAATCTTTTCAACAAATAGTATAGAACAATTGGATATCTATATGAAAAAAAAAAAAAAAAACGAACCTCTACTCTTACACTGTATCCAAATATTAACTCAAGATAGATCACAGATGTAAACATGACTTCTAGAAAAAACAGTCATAGATTGAATCTTAATGACCATGGATTTAGTGATTTAATGATCTTACATTGAATCTTAGTGATCTTGAGTTTGGCAAAATAATTCTTAAGTATGTCACAAAAGCATGAACTATAGAAGAAAAAAATCAATAAATTAGATTTCATCAAAATGGAAATTTTCTATTTGTATACCTATGTTCCTAGCAGCATTAGTCACACTAGCTAAAAGGCAACCCAAGTGCCCATTGATAGATGAATGGATAAACAAAATGTGGTATATACATGTAACAGAATAGTATTCAGCCTTAAAAAAGAAGGAAATCTGACACAGGCTACAGCATGGATGAACCTTGAAGAATTATGCTAAGTAAAATAAGCCAGTCACAAAAGGACAAATACTATGTGATTCCACTTAAATGCATACCTATAATAGTCCAATTCATAAACAGAAAGTAAAATGTTGATTGCCAGGGCTTGGAGGGAAGGAGATAGGAGTTATTTAATGGGTATAGAATTTCAGTTAGATGATGTGAAAACGTTCTGGAGATGGGTGATAGTGATGGTTGTGTAACAATGTAAATGTACACTGAATTGTACACTCAAAAATAGTTAAAATGATAACTTTTATGTATATTTTACCACAAAAAAATTAAGATTTTCTACTTTTCAAAAGATATGAAAGTGAAAAGATAAGCCACAGACTGGGAGAAAGTATTTGTAATACATACATTGACAAGTGACTTGTATCTAGAATGTATTAAAAACTTACAACTTAATAATGAGAGGCTAGGCAACCCAGTTAAAAAATGGGCAAAAGATTCAAACAATTCACCAATGAAGTAGAATGGGCAATAAGCACCTGAAAAAATGTTCAATGTCATTAATCATAATGGAAATTGGAAATCAGAATTACAGATACCACTAGAATTCTAGACTAAAATTAAAAAACTGACCATACCAAGTATTGATAAGGATGTGAAGAAAATGAAATTCTCAAAGACTGCTATAATGTAAAGTGGTATAACAACTTTGAAAAACAGTCTAGCAATTTCTTTCAAAGTTAAGCATATATCTGCCATACTAAGCCATTCTTCTCTTAGATATTTTCCCAAGAGAACTGAAAGCATATGTCCATATAGTAACTTGTACACAAATGCTCATAGCAGCTTTATTTGTAATACGCAAGTACTGAAAAACATTAAAATCTATCACAGGTGAATAAATAAATAAATGGAGGGGGGTGTACATGTACATACACAATGGAATAATAATCAGCAGTAAGAAAGAATGAACCATTGGTATATGTAACAACATGGATAGATTACAAAACAATTAAATGCTAAGTGAAAGAATCAAACCAAAAAGAAGTACAGATTCTATGATTCCATTTATACAAAATTCTCAAAAATGCAGACTGACCAGTAGTGACAGAAACCGAGAGAATCAGTGGTTGCTTAGGGACAGTTAGGGAAAGAGAGGTCTGAATTACAAAGGGACTCTTGGAGAAACTTTTAAGGTGGTATGTTCGTTATGTTGATTATGGTAATGTTTTCACAGTATGCATATGTCAAAACTCATCTAATTGTATACTTTAAATGTGTGCAACTTAACTATACTTCAAGTATACCTCAGTAAAGCTCTAAAAAAAAATTTTTTTCCCTAACAAGGCATCAGCTACTAGATAAGGCATTGAGGTCATCTCATCTAATAATAACATGGAGCCTGGGTGATTAGCAATAAGGAGACAGTTCTCTGACTAATATACACTGGGCTGATTGTCCTTTGTCTTATTCTGGCACCATTCTCTTCTCCACTAGTCCCCAATTCTAAACATCCCAAACATGAAATGAATCACTTCTTGGTGTTTAGAGCCATACTCAGATGATAGAATATCAACCTCAGATGATGGAATATATAGTGATTACAGTAATTGGAACAAAAGTTAATTCAGCAATATTAGAAAGTTTAGAAATTGAACAAGATCTAAATGTTCACCAATAGAAGAGGTGATAACTTACAGTAAATTTCTATAGTAGAATCAACACAATAAGTGAAAATTAATGAGTTAGTTACATATCAACATGGATAAATTTCAGAAGTATAATGTGAAGTGAAAAAAGGAAGTTGTGAAGTATACATATAGTTGATAAGATTTAAGTTTAAGTTTTTAAATACACAAACTACTATTTCTTATTTATGAATATACACATATACACTAAAAGTATAAGAACATGAAAGGGAATGATAGATACTAAGTGCAGAATAGATATTACTCTGGAATGGGATGAGAAAGGGTTACAGAAAGAGCTTCAGTTGGGTCTCTAATGCTCTTTTTTTTGTACAGGATAAGAAGTATATGAGTGTTTATTTTATTATCACATATGAATTCATAATTTTAAAAAGTTTTAAAAACCAAACATTAAAGAAATGGAGTGAATAATATAGGTGGTTGGATGTAGAGCAAATGATTTTATTTATCCATAAATCTTGTGTGTTTGTTTCCCACAGTTTCTGTGTGCACTACCAAGAAGGGAAGGTTATGAGTTCTTTGTAGGACAGTGGACAAGTACTGAACTCCACTTCACTGCACTTATAAATATTCAGGTAGGTGGTTTGTGCTCATGCCCTAAAGGAAAGAGTCCTACCCCTTTGTAGGACTCTGAGCCCTTGCTAAGGCTCTAAGACACAGAATATCTACCAATTACCAGCAGTATTTTCTGTGCTTTGATGAATTGTTGTACTTCGTATGATGGGCTAGCTTTGTAGGCCCTACTGAATACCTCGAAATTGGAAAAGACCTCAAAACATTCTCTGACTACTTCTGGCTCTCTCCTGTCTCTTCCCCAGGCCTCTGTAGTATTTACTGCATGTGCCTTATTTAACAAATATGGGTGATTTATGATGGTTATTTTTTTAACCTTAAAGTAGGCTCTACATCTTACATGAATTTTATTAACCAAGTCAGCACTTTACAACGAACTAGATGAATAGTCTCCATTCCATAGATGTTTTGTTTGCCTCCCTCCTTCCTTTCTTTTCCTTTGTTTTATTCCCAAATATTGGATTAAAAAGTTTGATCCAAAGAGTTTGAAGCTTTTAAAATAAAAGTTAATATTTTTTTTTCACTTATTATCTTTTTATTTTTATGTTTAGTAAAAATTTGTTACATACAAAAAATGTATGCAACATATTTGGATGTTACAACATATAATAATAAAAGGACCCTTTATGAACAAGCCACCATACTTAAAAAGGAGAATACATGTATATTCATATATTCCTTTCTTTTCATCTTCCAGTTTCTTCTTCCCAGGGTAACTACCATCCTGAATTTTTTATTTATTTATTTATTTATTTATTATTTTTTTTGAGAGGCCATCTCTCATATTTATTGATCAAATGGTTGTTAACAACAATAAAATTCAGTATAGGGGGGTCAACGCTCAATGTACAATCATTAATCCATCTCAAGCCTAATTCTCGTCAGTCTCCAATCTTCTGAAGCATAACGAACAAGTTCTTACATGGTGAACGAATTCTTACATAGTGAATAAATTCTTACATGGTGAACAGTACAAGGGCATTCATCACAGAAACTTTCGGTTTTGATCATGCATTATGACCTATAAACAATCAGGTCAAATATGAATATTCGTTTGATTTTTGTACTTGATTTATATGTTGATCCCACATTTCTCCTATTATTATTATTATTTTTATTTTTAATAAAATGCTGAAGTGGTAGGTAGATGCAAGATAAAGGTAGAAAACATAGTTTAGTGTTGTAAGAGAGCAATTGTAGATGATCAGGTGTGTGCCTGTAGACTATGTGTTAATCCAAGCTAGACAAGGGCCTTAAAACATCCACGGATGCAGAAGATTTCTCTCAAAACAGGGGGGGTGAGGTTCTAAGCCTCACCACTGTTGATCACCAATTTCTCACCTGATGGCCCTCCTGCGACTGTGCCTGTCTTAGGTTGTTCCTCCCTTGAGGAATCTTACCCGTCTCTGGCTAACCAGTCATCTTCCGGGGCCATACAGGGAGATGTAAAGTTGGTAAGTGAGAGAGAAGCCATATTGTTTGAAAAGGTTAGCTTTTTACTTCTTTGCAGATTTATGCCCTGTGGCTTCTATGCCTAGCATAAAAGTTAATATTTTAAATCAGCTTATAAGGAGGATTGACATCCTATATTTGGAGGCCACATCTGGCAAAAGCAACGGTGTTTTATACTGGATTTGAAGTTGGGGTAAGGAGAGGGCAAAATAGAATGAGGGTTTGTTCACATGACTGTATCTTTGTGATATTAAAAAACTGGATTGTGTTTATTAAAAAAAGAAAAATGAAATGAAAATGAATAGAGTGAGGGGGCAGCTTTCACTTTATTATTTTATAATTCATCCAACAATCATTTATTGGGTGAACACATAATAACCAGCATTTCATGTACTTACTGTGTACCATGTGTTTTATGTATATTATGTCAGTTAGTCCTCAGAAATATCCCATGAGATAGTTACTATTATTATTTCTACTTACAGAGTAGAAAGTGTACTCAAAAATTAGTCCACACTTCTGAGTGGTAGAGGTTTAATTGACTTTAGTATTGGCTCCAAAGTCTGTGAACTTCAGCATTCTGCTGTTTTATTTTGTTAGAAACTGTGCTAGGACTTGGAAACTGTGAGACAAGGTCCCTGCCCTTTGAAGCTCTCACACGAGTATAGGGAGAAGATCCAGAAGCATTATTATGATCAAAACGATCAATCTGTCTGACATCTGGGAGAACTATTAAGCTGAACTATTAAGAATACCCTAGCAATAGTTAGGTATTGATAATTAAAAGGACTCTTGTTGAGATTTAGAGATGAAATCCAGAGATTCCATCTTTTTTAATGTATAGTTGTTTGCGCCTATCCTATATGAGGGCTTTAGCTTTGAACTCAGCCTCTTTTACTGGTCTGGACTAGATCTAGTAACCACTGCCCTGTTCATCCTTCATGAAACTATGATGTTCCCATTCTTCTTTTCCCCTTACCTCCCACCCAGATTATATTTTAAAACTGCACATTATAAATCTAGCCCATGTGCAAACTCTCCAGCTGTTTGCCACAGCTTAAAAGAGCTCAGTCTTCAGAGCCAGCCAAGGGGAGTAGATTTCAACTGTGAAATGCACTAGTCCATAAAAGTGGCAATTACACAGGCATATTGCTTTCTTTAGATTTGATTTGGTAGCTGCTTGTGCCATTTTGTTTTTAAATATATGGCCATGATGAAGGATTCACTGCCTACTGTAAACATTTTCTGGGAAAAAAGCCAACCCTTTTTCAGTTGAAGACACAAATAACAGTGTGCAAACTGTCAGTTTCACTGTGCCTTGGCAGGCCTGACCATCCCCCCACATAGCAGTCTTCCAAATCACTAGTCGCCATAGGGGCTGTTAAGAGCCAGAATTTTCTGCAGACTCTATTGCTCTGAAATTGCAGTTTTGCTATGGTGGTACCTTATTGAACCTTGATAAGTGTTCCTTCTTACAGACCCGAGGAGAATCTGCAGCCAGTCAGCTGATTTTATATCACTACCCTGAACTTAAGGAAGAAAAGGGCATAGTGCTGATGACAGCAGAAATGGATTCCACGTTTCTGGTAAGAATCAACTTTTAGCTCTTGGATTTACAGTGGCCCTGAAGGAGTTACTATTCTACCAAAGCTTGTGAGAGGTAAAATTCCAAAGACCTCCATGTACTTGTTTCTTACTTAAATTTGACAATAATTCTGTCTTGCTCAAGCTCTTCCAATTTGAAGTTAGAACAGATCCAGTGCAATTTTGAAGTCCAAAAGCCCTGAAAACAAGGTGTTTTCATAACTCATTTGGTCACAAAACCTTATCTGACATACACTTCTTTGGTATCTTCACTTAGCTGGTGTAAGACTACAAACAGTCCTTATAATCCCACTTGGTGTGGAATATTCATGCATTTTACTAGGAAAGTATTCATGTGGTTTGATTATGGAGAGTTGCGTAATACACAGTTATATAGTATCTATACTTTTTACCTTTCTGAAATCTAGTAATTCTGTCTTCAAGGCACATCTGGCCCTAGGGATTTCAGGTGAGAGACTGTGAACAAGTAAATGGCTTCTTAAGTGTGGGGAAGAGTTCAAAGTCTAAAATAGTTCTCAGTCTTTTATCTTCCTCCATACTGTTCACATGTACAATATTCATCATACATAGTGATTCCCCCTCCTCCTTTTCCCATTCCCTGGGACAGAGCATCAGCCATATGCCCACGGGTAGTGATGCCTATTGGGTTTGTTCTCTTTGCTCTCCACAACCAGGGGCAGTTTTATGATCACTGTACAGCCTGTCTAGTCCTTGTTCATTTCAGTCTCATTTCTCTCATTTATCTGGCAGCATTTAAGTTCAGGATGTGTTTAAGCAGTGGGTATTTTAGTGCCTCGCCCCCCTGATACTTGCCATTATAACACCCACTTATTCTTCCTCTGTCTCTTACCAGCTGCATACAGGGAAGGAAAAAGTGATGGTATTCAGTTAGTATCTCACAGTAGCAGTAAGCCCTAAGTCTAGGACACAGTTGGGACTGTACTTACCTGTCTATCATCCCTGACATTGTTGAGTCCCATTTTCCCCATTCTTTCCACCCATCACATTCAACTGGAAATCACCCAAAATCCTGTCCAGAAGAATGGAGTTTCCATTCACTGATTTAGAAAGATCTCAGGGGGAACAGGTTTGGGAGGAAGATCAGAAGCTCAGTTTGAACACATTAAATCTGAGATGCCTATTAGATATCCAAATAGTAGGCAGTTCAGATACATGAGCCTGGAGTTCAGGGAAGAGGGCTAGGCTAGAGATATAATACAGGATTTTCAGCATACAGACTATCATTTAAAGCCATGAGACTGAATGAAATCACCAAAAAACTAAATGAAGATGGAAAAGAGAAGAGGTCTAAGAACTGAGCCCTGGAGAGATGAGGAATCATCAGCAAGAAGATTAAAAAGGAACAGTCAGTGAGGTGGAAGGAAAACTAAGATGGTAGAATGACCTGAAGCTAAGGTAAAATGTTTCAAGGAATAGGGGGTGCTCAGCTGGCCAAATATCACTTGCTGATAGGACAAAGAAGATGAGAACCGATAATTTACTAGATTTCACAACCCAGAAGTCACTGGGGACCTTTATAAGGGCACTTTCAAAGGAGTGGTAGGATAAAAGAATGATTGGAGTCATTCAAGAGAGGATGGAAAAAGAAATTAGAAAGAGTAAGCATCAACAAGTCTTTCAAGGGCTGTTTCTGTGAGGGAACAGAAACTAGGGGAGTTAGCTAGATGTGGAAAAGTGAGGACAAGAGTGTTTTCTGTTTTGTTCTAAATACGAGAGATAACATATTTGTATGCTGATGAAAGATGCAGTAGAAAGGGAAATACTGATAATTCAGGAGAAAAAGGGGAGAATTGTTGAAGTGGTATATTGGAATGGGTAAATCTGAAAATGAGGGGTTAACCTTTACCAGAAATACCACAGGAGAGAAGCCAGGGTACAAGGACACAAATACAGTTAATGGATAGCAATGGTGGTGGTTTGAAGTTCTCTCCAGATTGCTTAGTGAAAAGAAAGATCATCAGTTGAGAGTGGGGATGGAAGAATAGATATTGGACATTTGAGAGGAAAAGAGAAAGTAAAGTTATCTAGGACAGGAGTCAGCAAACTATAACCTGTGGGCAAAATCCAATCCCCTGTCTGTTTTTAGAAGGCCCGTCAGTTAAGAATGTGTTCTACATCTTTAAATAGTTGGAAGGAGAAAAACTGAAGAAAACAAAATTTCATGGCCTGAGAAAAGTGTATGAAATTCATATTTCATTGTGTTTTATTGGAACACAACCATACTTACCATTTGCATATTATCTGTGGCTGCTCTAGCTCTACAACAGAGTCGAGTAGCTGTAACAGAGACCATAGGCCCTGTAGAGCCTAAAATATTAACTATCTATGCCTTTACAGAAAGTGTTTGCCAACTTGTGATCTAGGAAAATGAAAGACAGAGTGGCTGTGCAGGTGGAATACAGGCATAGAGAGAGGGCTGAGAGTTGGACTTAACCAGGGTTATGGGTTAGCCGCTGGTATAATGAAGGAAGGTAGAGACCAGGAAGTTAACGGTGAATGTAAAAGAAGGATTATAATTATTGGCCATGGAATGCAAACTGGATGAAGAGGGAAGTGAAAACATGAGGAAGGTTAAAGACAGTAAGAATTGTGAAGCCTAGTGGAGTTAAAGAATTTTTTAAGTTGGGAATGAGCTTAAAAAATAGGAAATGGTAGACAGAGTGTGGGTATTTCATAATGAGATTTGGAGGGGATATAGTTACTAATAATGACAAGTTTTAAGATATGACCACAGGAGTAACATAGAGATTGTACTTTATATTCTGGGCTTCAGCAAAGCACAACATTAAAAATCCATATTAAAAATGGGCTCTAGAGGTCAGAGGAGGTCCTTTTTGCTTTGGCATTTTCACCACCTCACTCTGGTGGTCTTAAACTGCTGCATAGTTCCCATCACTAAAATTTGCTTCCTGGCCTTACAACATTCAACAGCATACCAAACAACAGACATTAACCTTGTATAAATCAACTTGACTGTGAGTTTCCAGTGTAGTACAGGACTAGACATGTTAGAATTTATTGAAGAGATACATGATTCAGAGATGGGAAACTTAGAAATGTAATATAAATATATATGATCCCCTGCTACTCATACACGAGTGTGTACTTTAGGCATAGTATTTCCCAATATAGTAAAGCAAATGAATAGAAACATATGGGAACTAGAGGGGTCTTCTGAACTAATTAACTTTAATGCTGAAAATTTAGTAGAATATTCAAAAACCTTATTTGGTTCCATGTTCAAATGATTTCATTGTAATGCACTGAGTGCTAGGATAGAAACATGCACAGTATGGGGTGTCCCTGCCCTTCTATAGAAGGAAGACTTCCTAGAGATGACATCTGGGCTGAACCTCTAAAAGCAGGAATTTAGCCAGATAAAGAAAGGGGCAGCGGGAAGGGGTATGTTCCAAAAAGAGGAAAATAGCAAAAATTAAATGCTAGGAGGCATAAAATGACTTGAGGTATTGCAAACAGTTTGGTATCACTGGTATATAAAAAAGGGGGCTTTGTGGGTGGTATTTAGAGGCTTGGCTTTATCCTGAGTGCACAAAAGAGTCATTTGAACAGGGAGTGATCCACAGAGTTGGAGTTCAAGACCATAAACCTTAATTATTTGCTTCCAAAATATTTTTTAGTTCTAGCTTGGTTATTGTGATCTTTTAGAAGACAGTTGCAATAGACCTGGCAAGAGGCGATGAAGACCAGAACTGGAGCAGTGGTATTAGAGATGGAGGAATAAGAATAACCCAGAAATGTATAAGGAGTAAAATGGGCAAGACTTGGGTAAACTGATTGTAACTATGAAGACTGAAAGAAAGGGCGGAATCAGGCTTGTTAATATACCTCCTTCATGAGCAACACAAGGAATTAATATGTTTATCTTCTTGGGTCTTAGAAAGGGAGAAGACTACTGCTCATGTTGAGTTAAGAGAACAAAAGGCAGAGGGTGAATGGTGTGGGTGGGAATAATATATAAATATAAAATCCCAGCATGTAACAGCTAAACAGATGAGGGGACCAGATGCCCCTCCACAGAGCCCCTGGAACTCTGCAATTTGAACAGCACTGTTGTAGAGTGTACACAGTTGAAATTCCCCTTCCTCCACCATCCTAAGCCTCATGAAAGTTCATTATCAGAGTCTCTACAGTTCAGGGTCTCAGACAATGGTGGTAGCTGCCTCAGATTATGGCAGTGCACTTGCTTTGGAAATGATTTGTTCTTGGGGCATGTTTGAGAATAAAAAATGTAAAATTGTTGAAGTGGAATTATTGACCTTGATCAATCTTAAATATCTTGCCCCACAAGAAACACTGTCAGGGTGAGGTGGAGGGATTACCAGTCTGGGAGTTCAGAGGTCTGGTGCTTGGCTCTGCCACTTGCTGGCCACATGACCTTGGGCCCATCTCTGAACCTCATTTGCTTTGGTTTGCTGGCCTATTCAATGAAGAATGGATGATCTCTGAGGCCCTTTCCAACTCTAAAATTCTATTGAAATAGCCAGTGTTTTGGAAGAAGGCTTTTGATTGAAGATCTAGTCTCAGAGATTAGTGCTTACTGGTGAGAAATGACCTAGAAACCCCGTGGGAGGGAATGGAGGTAAAGCAAACTGTGGTATTTATTAACCCATTTTCATCATTCTGTAGCTAAACATAGCATACTTTTGACAGTTTTAGTGGGAATTTTCCATTATCTTTTGGCCATGTGAACACAGTGATAATGAGTAAGTGCCTCTGACCAGCTAGAACTAGAAAATGTATAGCAAGCAAAAGGAAGAGTTGTTGGAGGTAGTTCTTCCGTATAGTTTTGAGAGTGTGGCCTAGTCCTGACCCTACCTCTCCCTCTGTTGTGTAGAGTAGTCTAGTCACCATTTTTCCCTGCTACTGAGCTTTAGAGAATGTGGTCCCTTCTCTTCCCTGGGGCTTTACTCGTTGGTTGGGCGGGTGGGTGGTTGGTTGCTTGGTTGGCTGGTTGGTTGGTTGGTTATAAATGGTTGCATAGCAATTACTACAAAACTTAATGGCTTAAAACAACAAACACTTAAACCTCACAGTTTCTGTGGGTCAGGAATCCAGGAGCAGCATAGCTGGTGATTCTGGCTCAGAGTCTCTTGAAATTGTCAATATGTTGGGTAGGGCTGCAGTCATCTGAAGGCTGATTGGGCTAGAGGGTCCAACTCCAACCCCCATTCACGTGGCTGCTGGCAGAAGGCCTCATTTCCTTGCCAACTGGCTTCTCTGTAGGACTACTTGATTGTCCTCATGACTGGGCAACTGGCTTTCCCCAGAGCAAATGGTTTAAGAGAGATAGCAAGGCAGAAGCTACATTATTTTAGTGATTTAGTAGCAGAAGTCATTCTCCATCATTCCACCATAGTCCATTTATTAAGATACAAGTCACTAAGTACAGCCTACATTCCAGGAAAGGGAACCTAGGTCTCCATCAAAGGGAGGAGAGTTGTAGAATTCATGGACAAATTGTAATACCACACAGTCAGCTTTAGCACTATTTTCTAGTACCACTAGAGGTATTGGGAACAGGTTTCATTGAGGAGTATGTCTGGTTGGTCAAGAACTTAGTACTCACTCACAAACTGGGTCTTGGAACTGGGTATTACTGCTCTTTTTTTCCCTTGAGATATACTTAACAGTTACTAAGGAACTGAATGAAGAGGGAAATTTTAAACATATTCATTAATTTATTCAGCAGACATTCACTGGATGTCACCATGTGCAGGGATGTAAAGCAAGCACATACTCTGAAGAATTCATACTAGGGAAGCCAGACAAAAAGAAAAAGAGGGGGAACGGCAGATGCAATACAGTTTGATAAATGCTATTATAGAGGTAAGATGGAGTGATTTGGATATACAGAGAAAAGGGTACCTAACCAAGACTTGGATATCAGGAAAGCTTTCTAGAAACAGTGGCTCCAGGGTGGTTTTCCCACCCACCACAGGACTGACACAGAGCTTTGTGGCCCTGTTGAAGGAAAAACCTCACTATTGTTTTTACCTTACAGAATGTTGCTGAGGCACAGTGCATTGCCAACCAAGTTCAGCTTTTCTATGCCACTGATCAGAAAGAGACCTACGGGTTAGTGGAGACCTTTAACTTCAGACCAAATGAGTTCAAATATATGTCTGTCATCGCTGAATTGGAGCAAAGTGGACTGGGAGCAGAACTGAAAAGTGCCCAGAACCAGGATAAGACTTAGAGCTGGAAGGGTTGGCTTACAATCTCAGCCCTGGATAGTCTAGAGCCCACCCACCTGCTTGAACTCTTGGGAGCTGAGCATCTCTAATGAGTCACCCTATATGCTTTATTGCAAGTGGTAATTGTGGAGGTGAGCCCTATTACTTGATGTTCAGGAATGAAGGTACCCAAACACTCTGATAATTATCTCCCAGCACACTTGAGGTTTCCTTTTTAAGTGTTTGAGGTCATCAACAGAGAGAGCCAAGGATCCACATGATGGTTGACTATTTTACACAATGTAACTGCATTTGCTTTCTGGCCATTCTGACTGCACAGCTCCCAAATGATTAGTTCTTCCTCTTTATAAACTTGTGACAGGATAATAAGCTTGAAGACCTGCTGTAGTTAGATGTGGGCTTTACATACTCTTCCCATACACCACTTGACTGGCCAAAGGCATAACCCAAATATCCTGTTTAGACTCTAGAAAACCAGACTCTTCCAGAATGTTGCGGCGGCACTATGCATTGCCAACTAAGTTCAGTTCTTCTGTGCCATGGATTATATTGCCATCAGGATTAAGACTTCATCTAGAGTTCCCTTTAGTGTAGCTAAGTGTCAGTAGATTTCAGGGACAGTTAAACACACAAGGACTGTGCCTGCATATTTTTAAACCATAGTTTGTGGCACCTGCTTCTCTAAACTCCTTTAGAAGCTATGTATTTAGAAGGGGTGAATCAATGCAGTGTAAATAAATTAACACTTTCGAAAGGAGAGGATCAATCTAGATTTGCATGTTGTTTTTTTTTTTTAACAATTCTAAGCCCTGCCAGTATTATATAAAAAAGTGGGTGGAAGCAGATGTTCCAGATTGGGTTTGGGGAAAATGTAGCAATAAAATAAAGTCTGGCTTACAATCTTTGTTACACTAAACAGTGAAATCTAAACTATGTGCTGTCTGTACTGTCAGTGCTGTGGGCTAATTTGACCAAGACTCATCTTTGGACTCAGCAGTTGCCTGAAACGCCAAAAATCAGAAAGAAGCTCCAGCACTGAAACTTCCATTGGGTTTGTATTGTCACTGTTTTGACTCCAAGTTCAGGGACAGAGAGGGTGGTAGTTACACACCAGCCTTCTGAACCTGAGGCCCCAGGGCTTCCCTAGCATCGCTGTCAACCACCTTTACTGTGCCTCTCTTTCCTTGATCCAGTGTGCTCCACTTTGCTGCTCCTGCCTAAGGTTTGGTTGTATGATACTAAATATAGTGAGTGGGAATATAACCAGTATTTGCAGTTTGTGTGTGCGTGTGTGTGTTTTCTTTATTACAGAAGACTTTTTATAGGTTGGGCCTGTCCCCAAGCTCTTTAAATGAGATTGGACTTCCAATTATTTTCTGAGCTGTGTCTATTTTGTACTTCTGAGTCTGTGTATAGAAAGAGACAGATGGTGTTTACCCTGGAAAAGCTGCTGTCCTTTCACAGTTTCTCTAAAGGTTGAGCTGTTGCCTAATGCAAAATCTGGACCTATTTCTGGTCCTGACAGTTCCTCTTCTGAGAAACTTGAATCTGGATGTTTTGAATCCCAGGAATCCTTGACTTCAGGTGGAGTTGCTTTCATGGATATCCAGTTAAATGTTTGCTTTTCCCTCTAGATGGGTACAGTTTTTAGCCATAGTACATTTCTGTAACAGCTCCACTAAAAGGTCAGAAAATGAGGGGAAAAGAACTCGCTGCTCGTTTTTTGGCTCCTCCCAGCTTTGCCCTAAATCCCACCTGCAAAAGAAGGAATCCATGGACAGTTACATTGGATATGATCAAAGTACCATCAGGCTGTTCTTTATATTTCTTAGCAAGATCTGGCAAAGAACTAAAGGAAAATTGTAACAATTGGTAAATTTGTCCCCTGGTGCAGCATGATATTACAGCAAGTGGACAGGCTTTAGAGTTAAATGAGTCTGGGCTCAGACATCAGTGTTGTGATTCATTAGCTCTATAATGTTGAACAAATTATTTCAACTCTCTCTTTATTCATCTGTAAAATGGGGATAATATCTACCTCATAGGATTATTGTGAGAACTAACTTACATATAGACTACAGTAGAGCTTAATAAATGTCAACTCTCTTCCTCTTTTCTCCTTCCCCTGCCTTTCATTAAAGACAGATTCGCATTTCAGATGTGCAGATTTGTCTTCATTCCAGTTTAAAGAACAAACTTTATCTCAGGTTCTCAAACTTTAAATCGCAGTAGAATTACCTAGAGTGCTTAAAAGGTAAATTCCTGGGTCCCAAACCCCAACCTGCTGAATCAGTCTTTGCAGAACTTGCTGGGAATCTGCATTTGCTATATGTCCAGATGATTCAGATGTAGGTAATTCACCAGCCACATTTGGAGAACCATTGCCTTCTCTGTTCTTCATCAAAATGCCCATTAGCCAGATCTTTCTTTCCTAGGGACATTAACCATAGGATCAGGTTCCTCTGCTCTGCACTTCCGTTGTTGGTCCCTTTTGTGTACTTTATGTTATATTTATTTATTTAGGTATCTTTTTTCCCCTCTAGACTGTGAGCTCCTTGAGGGCCAGGGTCTAATCTCCATTCCCAGTGCCAAGGACATGGCCTGGAACACAGAAGATACTCAGTTGTTTGTTGAATAAATACATGACATGGATTTTAACCAAAACGTTATCTTGTGTGTGTGCCTATGTTTAATTACTCTGAATTTAAGAGAATTCCTTAACACCCATAGATCAAGAACTGGTTGAGTAGGAATATTTGCAAACCAAGATACCAAGTTACACACACCAATCCGCTGTCTTTACCTTGGGGTTTTTTGCTCGGTGCACTCAACAATCGCTCACAGAGAACCTGCTCTGCCACAGCCATGTTAATTGCTGACAGGAAGAGGAGTCGATGCCCCCTGCTCTCAAGCCCTGTTTCAGCCATCACCTGTGTCTCCCTTGCCTCTGATTCTGTGTCACACATCTAGCACCTGGTCATAGTTTGCCTTATCTTGTTCTGAGGGTGTTTATGCTGCAGTTTCTTTCTTCTCCAATCAGTTTGGAAGCAGAAGCCACATGTTCTGTTTTTTGCAATCTCCAGAGTAATGACCTTTGATTCATATAAATGCCCACTCCCCAAGTCATTTGATTCAGCATGCATTTATATTTATTGTTCACCTATTATATACCAAGCATGGTTATAGAAAATAGGAATACAGCAGTGAACAGGACAAATAAAGCCGTGTTTTCAGAGAGCTTATATTCTTGTGAGAAGGCAAATGAATAAACCAGTAAGCTTATTTCTTATTTATAGCACCAATAATTATAAGCACTATGAAAATAAAAAAAATAATGTGATTGAATGCGAGTAGAGGCAATAACTTCATGGTCAGGAGAGCCATTCCTGCAGAGGTGACAGCTGACACTTGAGCTGAGGAAAAGTACCAGATAAAAAACAGCAAGTGCTAAGGCCTTGAAGCAGGGCCAAGCTCAGCAGGCTTGTTTCTGGGCACAGATTTAAAGGTTCATTCCTTGCCCTTGAGGAGCCTACAGTTCAGCAAATGAGACACTGACATGAATAGTTGCAATACAAGGCAAACCAACTAATTTTGAAGAGGGGTAAAGAAGGTTAAAGAACGCTTCTGGGTACTGTGGAGAATGCAAATCTTGCCAGACCATGATCCTGCCGTGAAGCACTCACAGCTAACTAGGGAATAACAGGTAGGCAATATTAAAGTCTCAGAGAATGTGTTCCATGCAAAGAGGACCTGTGAGTCCAGGGTGGGCCTCGGTATATATATATTAACAATAATCACTAGCACTGACCACTGAGGGCTTACCATGTGCCAGGCATTGTGGCCAAGCCCTTTGTATGGATCATCTCAATCCTTCCAGCAACCCTTTAAGGTCAGCAGGAACCTGCTGTTTGGTGAGATGTGCTGCTGCTCTCCTTGTTACCCCCCACCTCATAATCCCCCACCATTAGCTCAGAAAAGAGGGCAGCCTCCCAATTACCCCTACCCCCAGCTCCAACAGCCAACTCAAGCCTTAGGAAGTCATGGGTAGCTTTTGAACCATCCCTTGCCAATTTTTCTCTCAACTTGAAGAACGTAATGCACACACTATACATTTCTGATTCCTCCAAACTGTATTTGAAGAGACATCGTATTCTAAGAAGAACTTTTTTGTGCTCTTTTATGCTGCATGGAACACTTTGATCCTGGCAAATCTAATGTGGCAGGTTGATGGCAGCATTTTTATCTGCTAAAGGACAAACTTGGTGCACAAAAAGGAAGAGAGGACTTGAAGGTCACTGCCTGCATGAGAAGCCAAGCCAAGAATAGCAGGCAACTGTCCTTGCTCCAGACTTAATGGTGTCATTTGTCGTGTCCACTGAGAAAGCCCATCCCTCATGTTCACAGAGCTACTTCTAAGCTCTTCAGACCTCAGGAGCTGAAAGAGCTACAAGAAAAATTGTAGTCCAAAAATGGTTTGAACCATTTATGAGTCCTGCCAGGCCCCCCAGAGCTTCCAGAACAAAGTCCCTTTGGATCAGCTCACAAGAGCTTCAGCATCTGGTCCCTGGTGATTTCTCCAGGCTCATCTCTTGCTAGGTCCCCTACCCACTCCCTTAGCTCTGGTCATTCTGGATGACCTGACAGCACCTGATACACTATGTTCTTCTTTTAATCTTACTGCAGAGGTTGCATGTAGAAAACAAAGCCAAAGGACCATCAGAGGAGGCACCCAGGTCCAGAGTTTATAAGCAGAAAGACCTGGAAAATGATGAAAAAACTTTTGGAGAAAGACAATTATTTAAAGTACCAGCCTGGCACATTCAAGATCATCTTGACTTACCAAGTCTTAACATTAAAAAGGAACCTAGAGACTGTCCAGTCACTAGTTTTCAACTGGGCTTCAAGAAATCCAAACTGTTCCTTAGAGGTAGGTACCCTGGGAGTGTAGTCCTTACCCCCAACTCAACTAAAGAGGCAGTGTTTTATTTATGGGCTTCCTATAAACTATCATTTGAAGAAACAGTTCCCAAGAAAGATTTTGAAAGCCCTGATCAAATTTAACCTCCCACCTACTGCAGCAGCCCCCTCTACAGCTTCCCCAAGCCATTGGGCAACAGTTTAGAAACTTCCAGGGCCTTGAGCTCTCTACCCTGCTTAGCTGACCTGTGCTGTCTCCACACAGCTTGAGTCATAGCAAGTTCTTCCCAGCCAGAACTTAAATCTAGCCACCTTTCATTCCCCTCACTGAGCTTTGTTCTGCCACCATTGCTAAAACCTTCCAAAAAAGTCTATCCACTCTTCTATCTCACAGCCTTGGTGATTTAGGATGACAGTTCTCAAGTTGGATTGGAGTTTTTTCAGCAGATTAAACAATCTTCTGTCTTTCCTTATATGACTCAAAGCTCCAGCCCCTGCTTCTGGACAGACTAACTCACTGGTGTCTGCCATATAGTTGAGGCCTGAAGTTGAACCCAAGATAGCCTTGTGGAGCAACCAGAGTAGGTTTAGGATGGCAATCCTTTGGGAGCTGGCAAGGCTCACTGGCAGTCATCTCTCCACATGACCACTCACAAGATTGCCTTAGTAACTCCTCCAACTTGACCTTTCCTCACCCTGTCCTCATTCCCACCTTTAGCTACCTGGCTTATGACCTGCTGTCAAACATGGCTTTTCCCACTTGGAACTCTTAACTTTGGGGCCTCTATATATATATCCCAATTTCATTTCCCAGTGTTCCCATCACATCTTGACTTGAATTGACTCTGTTACCCAAAACCTGTATCTCTCCCAAAAGATATGATACTCACTTTTCCTTGGTCTTCTGCATCTGCCATGGCAGTAATCAGAGGTGTTGTCTCCTCAAGTAATTCACTTACAGTCTCCTACCCCAAAAAATCCTTGCCTTCATTTGAAGCATCTCTATTGAGTCATATTTGACTTTTGGTCCACTATGATCCCCAGATCACTTTTGTGGTTGCTGTTATTGTACCCACATTTATCATGTGGCATGAATCCCCACCTTGCATTCTTATTTCTTCAACCTGTGCTTAATCTTTCATTTTGCCTCTGGTCAGGTGGGAAGTAGCTGACAGATCTTATATTTTCACTCGGATTTTGTCAGGCAAGGGAAGAAGCCGAGCGGTGTTTTGATGAGCCTTGCTAGTTGAATGAGCCTTCCTTGTTGTTTTTCCATTTGCACCATGATACTGTAAGGATAACATTACTTTCATTTTACAAATGTGGACCCTTAAGAGAGGGCATCATACATGTAAGAGTAAGGTCTAAATTAGAATACCATTTCTGCCTTTGGAAAGTGTAACTCGATCTCTCTGAGCCTTTGTGTCCTCATTGTGAAATTTAAAAAATAGTCCCATCTCAAAAGTTAAGAAAAGGATTAAATGATATAGTATAAATAAGGTGCTTAGCACTATGCTTCACACATAATAAAAGAGCAAAATAGTAGCTGCTAGATTAAGTATTTTACCTGTCCAAGGCACAAATCTCCTATATAGAGGAGATGGGAACTTCTGCTTCTAGAACATACATCTACTTCTAGGCCTTATTCCTTCTACTTCTAGAACAAAATTTTCTATTGTGATATTTTCCTGTACAATTTGTTGCCATGTTCAGAAATTCTCTACCAAGAATTTAAAGAGACTTGAACAATAGTAATCATGCCAGAGAAAATGCAGTAGGAAATGGAAACTCTCAAGACTGAATTCACAAGCTAGTGTAGGTGCAAGGTGGGAGAGGCTGGTTAAGTCCAGACCAAAGCACACAGGTTGGAGTGAGCACTGTCTCTCTCTCTCTCTAACCACCAGCTGGCTGGCCCCACTGCCCACACCTGAGCAAGGGAAGGGAGGAGTGAGGGCAGATGCAGAGCCTGGGTGCTGACATCTGGTCAGGAGCCAGGTGACACTTGGAGTTCCAGGCCAAGGTTCAGGGCCTGCCTGACTATTTGTGGATGGCTTATCTGAGACCAGGATTATAGACCTCTACTTATTTAGTTCCTTGTTGACTCATTAGATGGAACAGTTTATAGCTTGAAGGGACTAAAGCCTGTAATTTTCCCACCTGGATGAAACCCTGAAGAACTTGTCAAAGATGTCAATTCTTAGGTCCCACCACTGAAATATGGATTCTTTTGGTCTGGAGTGAAGTTGGGACACCATAAAATAAATTTTTTAAAATCTGCAGGTAATTCTGAGGCTCATCCTGTTTTGCAAACCCCTATAATAGTTAGTGACTTTACAGAGGAAAAATGACTTCCCTAATGTCACAGGGGGTGTTGGTAGCAACATTCCATCTGTCTCTTCTATCTCTGTTGAAAATTTTCTCTGCCCTTTGGTCCCAGGCAACCCAACTGGAATATATCTGAAAACAGGGGTTTGATTATTGTCTGCTTCTAGGGAAGATTTCTGGTCTCAGGTGAGGACCTTCGAGGACAATAGAGGAAAGCAGAGGCCTTCTCAGACTCTTAGAGTCCAATGGCTTCCTTGTTTGTGAGAACTGAGAGCTACCCAAGCTCATGATTTCTGGAGCCAAATGCTGGATTAGTTATTGCCCTGGATAATCTGTGCATGAAGCTGGCCCCACAGCTGCATGAAGAATTGTGGGTTGCCGGTCCAGGCTGTACTCTCCATCCATCCTGTGTGCAT